TGTGCCACTTGGCCACATCCACGTTTCCGTGGCTTGTTCTCACCCTCCCCTCTCAGTTCTGACGCCTTTTTTTTTGCCTCTCCCCAACCCACCTGACTCGGTTTTGGCCTCGTGGGATCCTTGCCCTGTTTTGTACACGCAGAGGAGACGCTGTGGCTTCCCACTCTCTTGTCTTGCACTCGCACTGAATCATTCCTTGGCTTCTCTGGTTTCTCATTTTGGCTTTTCCCCCGCTGGCGGACTTGGCGTCCGGCTCCTAAAAATCAGCTCCAAGAGCCTGAATCCCTCACTCAGCCTCGGCACTGGTCAGAAAGACAAACCCTGAGGCAGAGGTTTTGCTTGTTTGCCCCAAATGAGGGGTGTTTTCCCCAAGCTGAGGTGAATTTGATAAGGAATTTTAAGAGATGATCCCAGATTGTCACCATGGCTACGGTCCTATGCTCCCAAATCCCAAAGAAATGCAAACTATATCCAAATAATGACACATAGAAGAGTATGAAAGAGGCATAAACATTTGTGGTGTCCTCAGGCTCAGGTCAATCCCCCCTCTAAACCAATATGGAAAATTTTTATATAAGGATCCCTGGATTTTTTTTTAAGCCCTGAAGTTCAAAGAGTCTTGAAGAGAAAAGGATTCTCGACCTTCTCATGCAATAAATCTGAGATTTATAGGAGGGTTCCCATGTCTTAATATTATTTATTTATACAATCACAGAATATCCAGAGTTGGAAGGGACCTACAAGGATCACCCAGTGCAACTCCTGGCCTGTCTGGACCACATTTGGCCCCCTCATAATTTAGACATGTTATTGCTCTCACATTCCTTCATCTATAATTTTCCAAACAGCTTTATCTGGTGCCTGGATCCCAGAGAGGCTCTGAGTGCCGGGAACAATTCCCACAATGGGATCAGGGATTAAGGGGTTGTCTCTTTTATTATGAGTCTTCTCTCCCTGTGACGTACAGGGATGTACAGAGGAGATCAGGGGTTAAAATCCAGGTAGGAATCAGGTTTCATACCCTGCTTAAAATCCAGTTTAATCCC